TGAATGTCTTTGTAGGAACGAGTGGGCATTTCATTGTGGGTTACCTTCGCGACTTGACATCCCACTTTCCTCTGGGATCTCCAAAAACGAAAGTGAGCTTAAGAAGGCTCTCGCTAGGAGATTGGGATTCATTGATCTGACGGCTTTCTTGGTATTGGATGTAGGTCTGTTGTGATGCACCATTGGCAATTAACGGTTTTCTTTTCATTTAAGAATCTTGCAATCAAACGTTCATGGGGCGTTAAACCTCCAGCAAGGTTTGTTTACGTGGACACTGCTCAGCTGGAAGAAAACCACGAGTTTGGGCTGCAGAAGTTACAATTAGATCAAATCACCGGCTCTGGAAATAAATCCTTCCAACTGAAGCTACTGGAACTTCCTCGAGGAAAGGTCTGCCCGATTTTGCGCTGATCTTGTATAAAAAACGATTGTTCAACCCCAAACTAACCCTTAAATTAGGAAAATGATTCATGCATGCAGACATATTGTGAATGTTACTGCTTAGAAAATTGATCATTCAATCTTAGCAACACAGTTTAAACTACACCATTCACTACATTTAAACATTATTAATTTCACACGATGAGTAGGTACTAAAAGGTTTCGACCTATCATATTGCAAGTTCGCCCTTCTACATGTTCAATGTAAACCCCCGCATCAAAAAGAACTACAGCCCTAGAAAAAGACGCTAACTACAGAAATTTTTTATCTCTGTACTTGTTCTCATCACATTTTGTCCCGCCTTTGTCAAAACATTTTCTGGTTCTCCTCGCCGAAAGTCGATTCAGCCGTTCCGTTTAAAGTTGTTTCTTTTATTTGGAAAAATTACATAATGCATGCTTATAACTTCGGAAAGCTTGATTTTTCAATGAAGTCATGACACACAACGACTTTTAAACTGAAGGGAATCTACTACAACGTCTAAACAAAGTGAACCTCCCAGGAAATAAAACAAGCAACAACCAACAGTTATTTAAAAAAAAACATTACAATCATCTTGTTTCTTAATAGAAAACAGATGATTTTGCTGACACGGACCGTCTGAAAGAAAAGATCCGTGGAGTTTTAAGGCAAATTCACAAAGAGAAGGTGGAAGAGGGCGAGGTTAAGATAGAAATGAAGAGTCGCTTCGGTCACGCCTATATTACCAAGATTGATGAAGGTGAGAAATGGGGAAAGGGGGGGGGGGACAACACAGCAGAGGGACAACGAGCATATGAATTGATCAAAAAATCTCTGATGAAGTATCTTGAATTCGAAGATTAGCGAAAATGCCTGGTTCTGTAACTTGCATAAAAGTGGAATGTGGAGGTGTTAATCTAAAATTTTATTTCTTTCGTTTTTCTTTTGCTGCAGATGAAGAGGAAGACACTTTTACTCTGAAGGAGATCAAAGAAAAAATTGAATCTACGGATGGCAAGAGCTGGCAGCCGATCTTCAAGGAAGGCGTCTTGAGAATGGAAGTTGAGGCAATTGAGAAGGGCCTTGAATCTTTCACATCAACTGAAGATATCAGATACGACTTCGCATTCTACTCTCCTTCTTGCCGAGATATTGGTGTTGAGGTATTTTAAATCTGTAAATATAGTAAGATTATCCATATATATCGTAGGATTCTTTTCATCATCTGACGCTGGACTTGGATTGTCCTTTCCTCGAAAAAATATTTTCACTTCTGATCAAACACTTTCGAGTATCGCCAAATAGGAAATGAAGAGGGGTATTCTCGTTTATATCTGCAAGGTTCAGTGAAAAAGATAAGGTATCTAAGGAATCCGGACAGTTTGTCCTTGTTAGGGACGTTAAATGTATGTTGTTAAAATCTCTTAAGTTATATTCTAGCCTCTTAATTAAAGGAATAAGTCTCCCGTAGCTGAGGAACTGAGACACCGAAAAACTGTCACTTGTTTTATAGAAGCCTGTCTACTTCTCTGAATAAAGACTGATTGGAATTGGTTTTCAATTTACCAAATTTTCTTACTTCTCTCTTTATGCTAGGCATGGCTGGTGGAGGAACATTCTGAGGACGAGGGTGCTACAGCTCCTTCGCTAATGTTCTCTTGCAATGTTCCTATCCCCGTCAAAAACGTCTTGACTCGTGTGTCATCCGAAGACGAGACCAGAAGAACATCGAACGAACCATGCTTCCATATTTATTCTCACTTTCAACAAAGAATGATAGCAGACATTTTGATGCCTTCCAAGGGATTTGACTGCCGTTTGTCGATAAGGATATGTGAGTCTGTGAATTATGACAAGAAAGACGTAATAAACAGCTTATCACAGCTCTCAGTGGCATTAACTTTTTATTTCATGAGTTTTTTAACTGCGGATGGAAAACTTACTGCGAATGACATTAAAAAAGGAAGAAAAAAGGAAAAAGAGCGAAATTTTGGATGATATTTGCCATCAGTTTTACCGCCCAAAAATAATTAATGAATGGAGCTTACAGCACTAAGTAGCATTTTTTACTCCATGATTTATTCTTCTGAACCTCAGAAGAAAAAAATCATGAAGTCAAAAACGCTCAACTGTGTAAGGGACTAGTTTTCACGGAGAGTAACACTGAAAAAAAATTTCGTATGGAACTAAGAATGGGCTTTTGTCTAACATTGTCGCATAATGTTAAATAAACCTCACATTGTCTCAGTTAAAAGTGTGTCTTTTTATTTTTGTCAAGATCCAAATATTCCGCAGACACTAGAGGCTGAGGAGGAAAACAGAATTCTTGAAAGTTACTTGATGAACATGAAGATTGATCAGGGTCAACTGAAGTTACCACCGAACTCTGAGCTTCCAGATGGATTTGAACTTTTTTACTGCCGTCGCAGTCTGAGAAGAACATACCAGTGCAAAACAATGGATGGAGAACAGTTTGCTTTGACTGTTTGTAAAGAGCAAGCTAAAGACATAAATATTGATCACAGTGATGTAGGGAGCTTCGACGAAACAGAAGTAAGGGTACGTATCACTACAATCAAGCTATGCTTTCTCTTCGTCCTTGTTAGTCATACACCGCTGTTTGTGTTATGATCCATGTCACTCGTCTGCGGTTGATACTGAACAGTCATTCAGTATATCTGTAAATTAAAGCGTCTGTAGAACTCTGATTTGGCCGGTCAGTCCGCTAGTCAGCTAATTTGAAAGTTGGTCAGTCGGTCAGTCTGTTAATCAGCTACTCAGACAATCACGGTCTGCCAACCAATAAGTCAGGCAGCTTGTCAGTTAGTCAATTAGTCAGCTCTATCATTTCATCAGCCAATACGCCAGCCAGTCCGCCAGCTAGTCCACTAACCAGTTCTCTAGCAAAACATTTAGCTAGTTAGCCAGTTGGTCAGTCAGTCACTCAATTTGTCAATCAGTCATTCAGAGAGTCAATTTGGTATCATCATCAACTGTGATGATAACGTTAATTGGCCACCGTTAAGAGTTTCAGAGTTGAAGTTTAACCATTCGTTAACCCTGACGAAAGGACAACGCCTAAAACGTCAGTTTTGAAACCAATTAGCTTGATTGTTTCGTTAGTGATTGACTATCCCACATTTTAAGTCCTTTGGTCACCTGTTTTGAGTCAAAGGAAGTCTTACGGGCTTTAATCTTTTTCTAATTGTTTATTTTGTTTCGATTTTGTGTGAAAAAGACGGACATTCATCTGTATTGTAAAAAATGGGATGACGCTTTTGATGAAGGAGACTGGGAACCAGAGCAGATCGTTGCTAAGCTACCGACGTTCCTAAAATTTCTGAGAAAAGTTCAGTCACTCGTGGCTCCACATGAAGAGGCTATTGGAGGCGAAATTCAGCCAAAAACAATTGAAGAGCAGAATTAAATATATGATGCGTATAGAGATCAAGAACTAAAATGTGATAGATTAACTAAATCTGAATGCTGTTCAATCTGCGGCTCAAGAAGACTTCATTACCATTCTGCGCAGTACGCGCTTGGTGGAATGATGCAACAGTACAACTTTGGGCGCCTGATGAACAGTGGAAAACCTATTTTCTTTAAATTTGTAAATACAAAAAAATAACTCAAATGTTGGAAACTGTACGATACGTTAATTATTGTTAATTTGATTGACATTTATAAGGGATTTCGTTTAATCTATAAATAACCAAACAACATGTATATGGCACCTGTTTTATCGCCTCATACATGGCACTTTTCTTGCACGTGCTTACAGCGGGACATTGTGTGTGTTTCTTTCGAATAAGCTGAGAGTTGTGAGTGAGAGTTAATCGAAGCGTTGTTGTAAATCATCAATCAAGTGAATAAATCGTGAGTTAATAAGGAAGCGTGGTAAAGCTTTTTCACGTTTTCGACACTAGCTGGAAAGTCATGTACGATCCCTTGCTTGACAAACACTTTGTCATTAAACCGATCCATTTGTCAATTTTATGACACTTTCATTTTAAACCAACGAAAAGAGAAAAAAAATTGGTTGTCAAACAGTTAGTTATCTACGTGTATTTGATATTATGTACTCTGTGCCTTTTACGTGCTTCGCAATCTATAACTTCGAGAACAGACTCAGTCCTGAATCATCGAAAAAAACATACCACTAAAAGGTAAATGGATAGATTGGTTTTCATGATGAATGTATGTCGATAAATAGTAAGGGTATTAATGTGGCCTGGTACTGTTGATAAATGTTACTTTGAATTTGTACTTTTGAAAGATAAAAACTGGCTTTAAGGATGCTTTCCCCCTATCATAGCGATGACGCATGATGCAAGTATATTCCTCGTCATAGGAACATTTAGGCCCTTTTTTGTTATTTTGGTGGCAGCTATTGTACTTTCCTTTTTTTCGTAACTTTCTTCCTTAGATCATTTGCTCGCAAAATGTTTGACCGCTCGGCTCCGGGAGGACTGGGGTCAAGGTAATGAAGCGAGACCGGAAGTACTTCCGGTTTAGGAAAGATAGACATTCGAGAATGGTGTAAGTTTCTAGTTTGCCAGGTTGTATTTTTCAACACAAGAATAATTTTAACGGCACCATGGAAAAAGGGAGTGACAACCGTAAGAAATCGAAGAATGGCGGCAAAGCGAGGTAAACCAAGTGAATTTCGAATTGAAGCTTTAAATGGGCAAGGAGTAGTTCCTCGTCCTAAGAATTTTCATTCACAGAGATCTCGTCAACCTTAAGTCACATCAAGCGAGAAACATTATTTTTACAAAATTACCTTGTGAGGCAGCCGTTGTGAGGCGCCTGTTATTCTTAGTCAAATTACAGTTTACTCTTATTTTTTATTCATTTGGTTTGTCGTTCGAAGGAACGAATCGAACGAATTTTGCTACACCTCTATCCTACATTGGCAGAGACCTACTTAGTGTGATCAGTTTGTGACAAACAATAAAAATAAATTCGCTCACTAGACTTAAAGAAATTTTGTTAGCGACATTAGGGCAAATTGCTTACTTGTAATATGATGTCATGTTCAATTATTTCTGGTCACGCACGATCCCACGATTATATCTCACTGTCACGCAAGTCGGCTTTCCACATTCGCGTCTCATTATGTTTCCGCAAGCATTCACTCCTTCACCGACATAAATTTTTCACTTCAAGGGCTTAGTCATTATTAATGAGCGGGGTGTTGGGGCTCGGAGGGTTGGGGGGGGGGGAATTCACATGGCTTTCAAACTTTGCTTTCCTAATATTAACATTGGCAGAAACTTACTTAGCGTGATCAGTTTGTGACAAACAATAAAAATAAATTCGCTCTTTAGACTTGAAGAAATGTTGTTGGAGACCTTGAGGTAAATTGTTTACTTGAAAGATGTTGTCATTTTCAATTATTTCTGGTCACGCACGGCCACACAATAACATCTCATTGTCACGCAAGTCGGCTTTCCTCATTCGCGTCACATTATGTTTCCGCAAAGTTTCACCCCTTCACCGCAATAAATTTTTAACTTTAGGGACTAGTCATTATTCATGACCTGACCGGTGGGGGAGGTGGGTCGGAGGGTTGGGGCGGTGATAACACAGCTTTCAGAGGGAGCTGACAAGGATCAGTCGAAAGGAGGATCAGTAGAAAATTGACAGCTGATTAATTGCTAACGGGAGCGATGATAAGAATATTACAGAGCCTTATAGGAGATCATGAAAATTTTATCGTGACCCCTTCCCCTGGTGATAAATAATGACCATTTCCTTTAGGGTGACAGATACATTATTAATGACCGATTACCTTAAATAAATCTCAGGCTAACGTTTTGTTGTGTCCGCGATAAAGTTTAAATTGCATATTCGCACATTTGTTCTGAAATGCCGTGTCTAATGTGACTTGTTTTTGCATTTCCTTATAATCTCTGTGTGATGGCAAGCTCCCCACCTTATTATGTAAATATCCTGGGTGAAACTAGGAGAGAGCGCCAAACACTAAGGGGTGCTCCAGGGGGAGGCTCGGAGTCGAACCCCATCGAAGCCTGGACGTTTCTCCTCTTTATTTTGCAGTTTTGAGAATTATTTCTTGTTTCTTTTTTTTCACTATGTTATTTTTGATTAAGTCATTATTTTAAGAGGGGTATTAGTAAATGACATGTGGATAAAAACATTTTTCCATAATTTCTCTTCTGAACAGAAATACGTATGACGATCTCAGAAGGGGCACTCAAGAGGAAGCCTGCGAATTTCTAGTAGTTGAAAACAACATTGGCTTCATAATCGGTAGGAAAGGAACTACAATAAGTCAAATACAAGAAATTTCAGGGGCGAAGATCAGTGCTCAGTCACAAAGAGGTCGCAAAGGATTCGCTATTCGTGGTAATGAGAGGCAAAGGGCCCGTGCAAAAGAGTTAATCAATGAGAAATTGGTAAGTAGCTGCTATAGGAAGAGAAACAATTTCTGTAGTCGTAAGTCCTCAGATTTCCTATTGTCTGTTATTTGTATTCATTCTGATTGTCAGTTAGTCAGTTTGTCATTCATTTGTTCAGTTAGTCAGACACACAGTCAGCCAGTCACTCAGTCAGTCAAACGCTTAGTCAATCAATCTATCAATCAATCAGTCACTCAGTAAGTTAGTCATTCTGTCAGCCACTCAGCAATTCAATTATTCAGTCAGTCAGCAAGTCCGACAGTCTGTTATTCAGTCAGTCAAGCAGACATTAAGCTAGTCATTAAGTCAGTATACAGTAGGTCATTTAGTCAAACGGTCGGTCAGTCAACAGTCAGTCATTCTGTCAGCTTGTCAGTCATTCAGTCGGCCAGTCTGTCAGTCATTCAGCCAGCCAATCAGTTAGTCACTAAGTAGGTCACTTGGTAACTACTTCTATCAGTCCCTCAGTCCGACATGAAGTCAGTCATGATCTCAGCCAGTGTCAGTCAATCAATTTGCTTGGTAGCCAATTAAATAGGCAGTCGTGATCATGAGTGGTTGTCAATTATCGCTGATTCTGTTTGTCTTCGTGTCTGTCTGTCCGCCTCTGTTTTTCTTGTATATCTGAGAATCTGCACTTCCTCCTCCCTGTAAACATTGTACATTCTTGCGAACTTTCGATTCCAAAGGAAACTCTATCAAGAAATCAAAGCGTCCCTGGTCGACCGATTGTGATTCCAAAAAAGTTTGAGAAACTAGTAAGAGGACCAGATGGAGACCATCTTCTACATGTTAGCACTATGACTGGAGCTGCAGTAAGTTCAATAGGACCCGATCATCGGCTGTATGTAAGTGGATCCAAGAGAAACACAAAGCATGCCGAGTATGTGATAAAAAGCAGAATGGTGAGTTTAACACTGACATTATTTCATGTCAAAGAAAATAAGATTTTGGATACCCTGCCAAATGTGAGATATCTCTTTTATTTATAGCACAGAGGGGAGCTCTTTTTTTCAGTTAGGTCAACAATTTTCCTGCATTGATTGTAAACCCTAGTTCCATAGAAATCCATGGCAGATTATTTTTTTCGCTCTGTTTTAGGCCGCGGGAAGAGTCATGGCTAACAGAATTTGCGTCTTTATAGACGATAAAAATCTCCCGGAAGATTGTGAATTACAGCTTGTCCCTGTTGAGGAAATGGAGCGCTTAATACTTTCAGCAGGAAGTTCATCACAGTATCGCTTGAAACCTTGTGAAGAATACGATATGGATGTACAGGTTTGTGCAAAAAGTGGCTAATGGTGAAAGGTGTTTATGGCTGAACACTCCGCAATAATTCTGTCTCAGTGCAGATATATCGTTGCCAAAAAAAACCGTTCAGGGTTAAATAATAGACGCGGATAAGGTTAATGACCAAGCTAATTGACTGCTGATGCTTAGTTAGTTTTATTTTCAAGATTAAGGAGGTAATGGGCGTCGAGATTTTAGATATAATCCTAAGGCAAAGCAACTGGAAAAAACAAAAACAAAACAAAAACAATAACCCAACGGAAGAAATGCTTCCCTATCTGACAAGATCGATTTTAATTATAGGGAGCTTATGCGCTCAATCAAGCTGTCGCAAAATATGATGCATCCATAAACGAAACAGTTTTAACATCCTTAAGGAAATTGAAAATGGAAATTGGGTCCGGAAATTATCACAAAGCTGACCTATGGTGTCATTTCGGGAAAATCGTCATTCGGGAACCAGACGAAGGTAAGGCTTAAGTAATTTATAATTAATAGATGAGTAGATTACTGGGATGTAAAACACAGGTACCTCTACCTTTGACAGCCTATCGTCCATTGACACAAGTATCATCCATCACAGTTTAGTGTTTAGCATACATTAGTTATCGTCCTATCACAAATTCCTTATTCTGATTGGCTATTGTACTCGCTAGATAAAGGGGGTAAGTTTCTAAAGAAGCTCTGGTTTTGCGTCGGAGGGGGGGGGGGGTTGGAAGGTATTTAAAGAGAACTTGGTTTTATTAACTGGGTTGATAACATAAATTGGGTCACAATAAAGGGTTTCTAAAGATGACGTTTCGAGTTTAAGCCTTTCGTTACTCGCTATCTTTTCCGGGATGGTGAGTAACGTGAGTTACCTAACATTGTATGGTTGTTATCAAAATAAAATAAAAACTTGTGCCTGTCTTGTTGTTAAGTTTTGGGGTAATTAGTAGATTTATGCTGAAGGAAATTAGATTATTCGCTTTCAATTTCTATGCGAGATAGTTTCTTCGAGCTTCACCCTTACTAACTATCACGGGATAGAAATCGCGGGCGAAAAATCTTGTCGATGATTGGTTAATTTTAAAGGAATTGGGCCTGGTCTGCATAGCTGAAAAGACACCATTTTGACAATGTAACATCAAGTAATTAGAAAACTACATTTGTCAACAGCCGACCTCGAGGAGACGTGGAGCATTGCTGATTCACTCAACAAGCTTCAAAGAACAGAACAGAAAAAAAACGAATGGCTTGTGGCATTTAAAGAGGGCGTGAACCTTGCTGACAAAGTGGTGAGC